ACCTTGACCTGAGACCCTGGCTCACTGGCAGAGCCTCTGCTCGGCATGCAGAAGGTCCCAGGTTCAATCCCCGGCATCTCCAGTTCAAAGGACCAGGTGATGTGAGGGACCCCCGCCCGAGACCCCGGAGAGCCGCTGCCCGCCTAAGTAGGCAATACCAAGGGTCTGATTCAGTGTAAGGCCGCTTCCTCCGTTCATTTAGATTCGAGTCCAGAAGCACCTTGGAGACCAGTGAGAAACTTCAGGGTACAGAAGACATCTGATGAAGGGGGCTTTAACTCCCCAGAGCTCATGACCCGAAGCTCTCGTTGGTTTCTTAAGGTGCAAACGGACTCGGATCTAAACTGCTCTACCGCAGACCCAACACGGCTACCTGTCAGAACTATCTCCAGGTGTTCACATGTTCCTCCTCCTCCAAGTTCTCTCCCCCCCCCCCTCGAAGGTCTCTTGATGCCTGCTGGGGCTCTTGCCCAATGACAGCAGAGCCATCGCTGCGCTGTCAGCGAGGATAATCATGCTGCTCGACTGCCGATAAACAGTCACGGGGGGCGTAAAATATTCTTGCCGCCCTCACAATGTGTATAATAAGATAGAAATCTTGTTTCTTATATTTCTCTGGTGATACGTTCAGTAGAAATAGTTCTGGTGTAGAAGTAGTGTTCCTTCAAAGGAAGAAGCCGTAAACAAAATTCTGGAAACAGCAGAGATGGATCATTTAACTTCAATCTTGAGCGGAAAACAACAAAGACGATTTTGAGGACACACGGACAAGATTTTACGAATGGATAGAAAGGTATAACACAGAAAATTCCTAGACTTATAACTGAAGTAAATAAACATAAAGACTATATATTTAACTATGGGGAAAACATACGTATTAAAACTTCAAGGTGGAAAAAGAAAAACACTTTTGATTACAGTATGAGGTCAAATGTCCATGGGGGGGGGGGATAATGATACAACGGATCTTCCCAAATTTTGTATGTATGTAAGTTTGTTAGCGTCTGTTTTGTGTGTGCTATATGTATGAAATATTTTCTTTAAAAAAAACCCAAACAAACAAAAAACCAGTCGCGGGGGGGGGCGTGTCTCACGGGTCCCGGCCGACCGTCCCCGACCCAGCCCTCCCCCTGCCCACCGCCCAACCCGACGGCCGATACCTTCTCCTCCAACAGCCACTTCTCCTGCTGGACTTCCGCCAGGCGCTGGAAGAGCTCGGAGACCTCTTCGTCCGAGAGGTCGGCCGGCCGGGGGGGCTGCGACTGCGACTGGGGGCTGCCCGTGGTGGACTGCAACAGAGAAGTTGACAGGCTGGGGAGAGGGGAGTCTCCAGATCGGGACCTGGGATCGCGGCTGCTTCCGACAACGCCGCCTCCCAGGTTCACACTGTTCACTTGAAATGCCAGGATCCTCGCCCTGACCTGGACGGCCCAGGCGAGCCCGATCTCGTCAGACCTTGGAAGCGAAGCAGGGTCGGCCCTGGTTGGTACTTGGAGGGGAGACCACCCGGGAGGTCCAGGGCCGTGACGCAGAGGCAGGCGATGACACACCGATTTTGTCTGTCTCGTGCCTTGAAAACCCTACGGGGTCACTGTGAGTCAACTGGGACTTGACGGCGCTTTCCACCACCAGGGTTGACCCTGCTTAGCTTCTGAGAGCCGACGAGATCAGGCTAGCCAGCACGGGGCATTTGTTAGTTACTTCGTTGAGAGCCCCAACTTCCTCCCCCAGTGGGAACCCAGAACCACTTCCGTAGTTCTCCTCACCTCACGGAATTATAGAGTGGGAAGGGACCTCCAGGGTCATCTAGTCCAACCCCCGGCACAAGGCAGGAAACTCACAAATACCTCCCCCTCCACACCCGCAGTGACCCATGCCCAGAAGATGACAAAAAAACCTCCAGGATCTCCAGCCAAACCGGCCTGGAGAAAAATGGCTTCCTGACTCCAAAGTGGTGGCGATCAGCATTTCCCTGGGCGCATAAGAAAGGGCCACGAGAACTAAGCACTGAGGCAACCCTTCCTGCCCTCCCTTCTTGTGATCTGCCCAAGTTCACGGAATCCGCATTGCTGTCCGATGGCCATCTTGCCTCCGTTTGAAAACCTCCAAAGAAGGAGAGCCCACCACCTCCCGAGAAAGCCTGTTCCACTGAGGATCCGCTCTACCTACCAGGAAGTTCTTCCTAATGTTTAGCCAGAAACTCTTCTGATTTCAACCCACTGGTTCTGGTTCAACCTTCTGGGGCGACAGAGAACCTCCATTTTATTCTTCTCACCACAACTCTGTACGTTAGGCTGAGAGAGCATTTGATAGGTGCAAAGTCACCTTGCCACATTTCCATGGCAGAGGGGGGATTTGAATCTGGGTCTTCCAGGTTCTAGTTTGGTGCTCTAACCACTACACCACATTGCCTCTCACGAAGGGAGGGGCGTTGGCTAAGAAATGTTGATCCTGTGCTGTGGGAACCTATAGCCCTCCCAATTCCACCCTGCCACCGTGCTTAAAAAGCCTCAGTTCCATTCGTTTGTTCTCTGCAAAAAAGAAATCTACATATTGATGCATCAGGAAGCAGGTTTGAATGTACTGGCTAAAGCATCAGATGGCTACGAGGAAGCTGTGAGCGAGCCACTATCTGTGGTTAAGGATTTATGTGGGGGGAAAATAATTACGGGGGGTATTAAAACTTCTGTTATTGGATTTTTAGACTGGCTTTACTAAATTGCTTACGGGGACATGTTAGCAGGTGGATTTTTGTATTCTCCGATGGCTAGAGACACGTAGCAGGCGTGGGAAAGGTTCTGGCAGGCGCTGCGACGCCCCAGGCGCCAGGTTGGGGAGCCCTGCTCTACGTACTGATATTGTCATTAAATGAAAGCTGTTTTTGTCTCGGCCGATTATTTCTTGTGATCGCCAAGTGCTTAAGTGCGCGGACTCTAACCTGGGAGAACCGGGTTTGATTCCCCACTCCTCCGTTTGCACCTGGCTGGATGACCTTGGGCAAGCCCTAGTTCTGATAAGAGCTGTTCTTGAAAAAGAGCAGTTTCTGTCAGAGCTCTCTCAGCCCCACCTACCTCCCAGGGTGTCTGTGGTGGGGAGGGGGAGGGAAAGGAGTTTGTAAGCTGCTCTGAGACACCTTTGGGTAGTGAAGGGTGGGGTATAAATCCAATCTCTTCTTCTTCTTCTTCGCACTCCATGAAATTGCTGAGCAGTCAGGTTAGAGCTAGGCCTCGTGCCAAAGTGGAATTGTGGTTAGAGGGTTGGACTAGTCTCTAGGAGAACTGGGTTCACACCCCCATCCGCCACGAGCCTCGGTGGGCGACACTGGCTCAGTCCTGTGCTTCCCAGCCCGCCTCGCCACGTCGACGTGAGGATGAAAAAGGGAAAGAAGAATGATGTACATACTGCTGAGCCAGTATCGTAATGCCCCTGTATAAATCGATGGTGTGACCTCATTTTGGAGTAGTGTGTACAGTTCTGGTCACCACACCTCAAAAAGGATATTATAGCATTGGAAAAAGGGCAGAAAAGGGCAACTAGAATGATAAAAGGGCTGGAACGCTTTCCCTAGGAAGAAAGATTAGAACACTTGGGGCTCTTTAGCTTGGAGAAACGATGGCTGAGGGGTGACATGATTGAGGTTTACAAGATTATGCATGGGATAGAGCAGGTAGAGAAAGAAGGACTTTTCTCCCTTTCTCAGTTTGGTGTCGTGGTTAAGTGCGCGGACCCTAATCTGGGAGAACCGGGTTTGATTCCCCACTCCTCCACTTGCACCTGGCTGATGACCTTGGGCAAGCCGTAGTTCTGATAAGAGCTGTTCTTGAAAAAGAGCAGTTTCTGTCAGAGCTCTCTCAGCCCCACCTACCTCACAGGGTGTCTGTTGTGGGGAGGGGAAGGGAAAGGAGTTTGTAAGCCGCTCTGAGACACCTTTGGGTAGTGAAGGGCGGGGTATAAATCCAATCTCCTCCTCCTCCTCCTCCTCCTCCT